AGTGGCAGCATCAATGGACTCAAGCGTGGCAACACTAGTGAGGTTGGCCCAGGATCGGGCAGTGTTTCGTTGTGTTGTACCTAGGGTAACTATGACTCGATGGCCCCTAACAACAACAGTCAGAGTAAGACAAATGTGTTACAGACAGAACTTGTCTGCAACCATCCACGAATCGCAAAGACCTATCTAAATATATTTTGTTTCAAATAAACCCGTGCATGTGCTAAAGCCCAAGAAGAAACGCTTTTTATTTACTTATCTTTTTATTTATTCTTGTACTTATCTCAGAGTATCTCTCTGGCTTCAAATACACTGCAGTTGGAAATTAATAAACAAGACAAATAGAATCTTGTTGTTGTCGTAGATGTCTTAGCTTTCTACACACAACAGAGCGAAACACTGCCAGGTCTTGCGACATTCTCACAATTGTTGTTACGTTTGTGCTCATTGTTCTTGCCATTGTATCAGTCCACCTCACTGGGGGTCTTTCTCGTTTTCACTGACCCTCCATTTTACCATGCCTGATATTCTTCTCCAAGGATTGGTCCCTCCTGACACCATGTCTGAAGTATGAGAGACAAAGTCTCTCCATTCAGCTTCTAAGGAGCATTCTGGCTGTCCCTCCAACAAAGATTTATTTGTTCTGCAGTCCATGATACTTTCAATATTCTTCTCCAACACCATAATTCAAATGCATTGTTTCTTCTATGGTCTCCTTAGTCATTGCCCAACTTTCACATGGCAAATGAAAATACAGTGCCACGGGTCAGGGGCACCTTAGTCCTCAAAGTGACATCTTTGCTCTTGAACACTTCAAAGAGGTCTTGTGCAGCAGATTTGCCTAATGCAACACACTGTTGGATTTCTTGACTGCTGCTTCCATGAGTGTTGCTTATGGATCCAAGTAAAATGAAGTCTTTGACAACTTCAATCTTTTCTCCATTTATCATGCTATTTATTGGTCCATATGTGAGGATTTTTGTTTTCTTTACATTGAGATGAAATCCATACCAAAGGCTATGGTCTTTGATCTTCATCAGTAAGGATTTTAAGTCCTCTTAATTTCCAGTAAGCACAGTTTTATTATCAGTTTTGCAAGTTGTTGATGAGACTTCTGCCAATCTTGTTGC